TACTCCTACCTACTGACCACCATCCTCCCTGGGACACCCCCCCCCAATCAAATATTTAAAGTGATGTTCTAGATGGGTCTACCTAAGGTCAGTGGGAGAACAGACCAGTAAGGCAGAGTTCAAGGTAGCATGTCCTGGAGGTTGTCTGTTTGGCACACCCTGGGGCTTTCAGGCGGGCCAGGAGGAGCTGGAGGCAGGCCAGCTACAGGAAGTCATTATGGTGTTCCCAAGGCATGGGGAGGTGCACACAAGTCTGTAGGGCTCTTGCCTATGGTGCCTGGAGGCAGGAGACAGAGGTGTGGTTAGAGGATGCTCTAGGCCTCCCTTAGCCCTGCTGGTCTGTTCTCTGCACTGAATCACCATCCCCAAGCCTCAGGTCCCAGGAAAGCTCTGTCTGCACTTTACTCAGCAGTGAGATAAAAGACCAATTCACAGTCAGGGCACACAGGATCCCTAGTCCCTCCCAGACTACAGCTGTCCCTCTACCCCAGTCCTTCTGCAGTCACCGAATCTCAATGGAAACAAACCGGTCCTAGACAAGATAAGAGATTCACAAATGGTACTTCTGGGAAAGCAGGGCTCTTGGCAAACCATTGATTTTGTTCTTTAGGGACAAGTCACTGTCCCACCTACGCTCAGTTTAAATTCCAGTAAAGACTGAGCAGTGGCTATGAAATTTATTTGTAAGGTTCCAATACTTATAAATACTGTGTGCATGTGGGGTGCACATGAGTGTGGGTGCCCGCAGAGGCCTGAGGAATCTAAACACCCTGGGGCTGGAGTCATAGGCAATTGTGAGCTGCCGGATTCAGGAGCTGGGAGCCAATCCTAGGTCCTCTGCAAGAGCACTGTGCCAACTACTGAGACATCTTTTCACCCTCCTGTGCATTCTGTTTGTTCGTTTTTTTTTTTTTTTGTTCTATTTTAACTATAACAGTGTGGAGAATGGATTGCACACCGTAAAGGCAAGGGCTTCTTGGCAAACTTTGCTTTGCATGTGTTAGACAACACAGGTGTCATGGACGTTATTGTATATACTCCAACTGTGCCTAATGTAAAATGTATTTCTTATGCCAAAAAAAACAAAAACAAAAAAAACACCTTTCTGTAGCACTCTAAAACTCTATTTGCAATTTGTCACAAACTTTAAATACACGTTATTTTGCCTTTTCCTGAAGCTATACAGATTTGTTCCTTCCTACATGCAAATCACAGATTAGTTCTGCAATTTCAGACAGCAAAGTTACTTTTGAAAGCAGATGATACATACAAGGTTAGAAAGGATTTGTAGGCTACCTTAGGACGTAGGATAAAGCCATTCACTTCAAAACCCAGGCATAGTAGTGCATGCCTGTAATTCTAGCACTTGGGAGGCTGAAGCAGGAGGACTTCAGAGTTTAATGCCAGCTGTGCTGCACAGAAAACCCTGTTTCAAAACAAAACAAAACAACAACAAAAAACCAGTACTGGAGAGATGGCTCAGTGAGTAAGAGTGCTTGCTGCTCAAGCATGAGTTGCCATGGCAGCACACACACGACAGTTATCCTAGTACTGTGCCTGTGCATGCGTTCGTGAGCCTGTGTGGGACATCACTGGGGCTTGCTAGCACAGGCTTGAACACTTCCCCTGCCCCAACTTGGTGACTCTAGTGTGTTTGACAGAGAACTACAGCAAGCTCACTGTTGGAGGACATACCTGGGGAAGGGATCCTGGAAAAACACCTGGCGCGTAGGGAGTGCCATTTACTCTGACAGTTTCACCAAGAGGGAGGGAAAAGCCGAATAAAAGAAGCCACAAACCAGGAAACAGAGAAGACTGACTTTAGAAAATACAGAGCCTGATGCTAGCAACACGGTAAACATGCACATGTCACAGTTCCTAACATTATCCTGGTAGTAGTGTGTTTGGTGTCCCCCCAGTGGAAGCAGACCCTGGGAACTTTGGATCTAGTGAATGAATTCATCCCCAGAAACACAAGGCCACATGTGGATGGTGAAATTCCAAGAGCAGATAGAGTCACAGATACAAAAAGCAACTGGTAGTTGTTAGGGGGCAGATGAAAGGGGGCCCGGGGTCACAGGGTTCCTTCTGGCGTGGTAACTGGGAACACAGCAAAGGAAGCAGTCATTGCCCCAAACTTCAGAGTAGGTGACTGTGTGTTCTGGGGGCTTCATCTCAATGGAACAAATAATACAAGGAGGAAGATGTGGGGAACAAATAAACCATAAGACACAGCCAGACTGACAAACGGAGCTCCTAGGGAGAAAAGGGACATGGGCTCCAAATGAGGAGAGTAAAAACCCAGGTTGTTAGAAACCCAGGTTTCTGGGAACTCCATTACTTTGGGGTCCTTTTGCTTAGAGCCCAGCTAAGCTCCAGTTTGACAGCAACAAAAGAGAAATGAGCAATGAGGAGGGAGGGGAGGAAAGAGAATGGGAAGGAGATTTTCTGAGAAGAAACAAATCCTGGACTCTGAAAAGCCCAAGTCCATATGGCAGACCCAACAGGGGCAGCTAGGGTGGTGTTTCGTCCAGAGGAGCGGCTTCTGGTTAAAGGGGCACGGGAAGCTGAGGAAGGCCAGCTGGCCTGGGGTGATGGGGAAAGAAGTCAGAGAAGGCACACATCCACAGGCGGGTGAGCGACCGATGCATGAAAGGGATGCCAGAGAGAAGCCATGAAAGGGATGCCAGAGAGAAGCCATGAAAGGGATGCCAGAGAGAAGCCATGAAAGGGATGCCAGAGAGAAGCGGGGCTGGCTGGCTGGCTTGCACAGGGTCCCCTCACTTCCTGCTGACGAGCCAGGCGTGGCCCTGAAATCCCAATGCACTTTGCCACAGTTACCATCAGCTATTCTCAAACTTTTTTTCACCTTCTCTCTCTCATAAGCATCCCCCTTACCCTTTAACACCCCCTTCTTTAATAAATACAAGTCTTTGGACCTAAACTGCCTGTGCCAGGGGAAACTAACTGCCTAATGAACTCACCAGTTACTCAACAAACACCTGTGGATTGAACATTTGTTCTAGACACCATGGGGACCTTGGCAGGGAATTGAGACAGATACAAAGTGACAAGACAGGAAATGACAAGATACCATAGGAAAGCAGGGACTGGTGGGCAGGGCTGCAGAGAGCCTTGAGGGTATCGGGGCAAGGGAAGACACCGGATGGGGAGAGATTGTTAGATGTGCTAGTGTTTCAGACACCAACAGTTTACAATTGCTGGCATGCAGTGGTAATGGGAAGCAGACTTATTTTGAGTTGATTTTATTTGTGAATTTACGTATTGCATGCACCTAACATGGGTGGGTCACTCCTATAGCCAGTCCCTGATGGCAGGTCACTCGGTGTCCTTGGCCTCAGTGTTAGAATCAGTAAAAGAGGGCAAACTCTCTTCTTATCAGGGAGTTTGTTTGAGAGGTGGGAACATAAAATACTTCATTTACCACCTAGTTCCCCCTTCTCTTGCCCTTTCTTCTTTCCCCATCAAGGGCTTCCAGAACCCAGTGTAGACACACTAGCCAATGCTTGTTCAGTAAGTAGTCTCTGTTTCTGCTGGTGCTCTTCTATCCCTTCCACGAGGAAGAAGCGGGGAGCAGCCTCTGACTTCGCTCCCTACAGGCACCCCAATCCGCTATGCGGGCTACCCGAAGGAAGGACTGATCAGCCTGGTGTAGCTGAGCACGCCGATGCCCTGCACTGCCCAAGTTTCAAAGTCTGTATTTTCCAAGGCCTGTCTCAAAATAAAACTGAGGAAGCAACATCGAGTTACGTGACATGGAACCTCTGCACACACTTTCCACCCCTCTCCCCCACAGCTGATTAAGGATGGCTACCCACAGGCAGGCAGGCAGGCTGGCTAGTTGCAGCTAAACTTGGGGCCCTGTCTGGGGCTCTTGAGTTTTCCCATGAGCATCACTCAGTACACACCGAGAAAGGACAGAAAATAGGAAACACCCTACTCTTTGTCACCTCTTAATCCTGGCGTTTGGGAGCATGGGAGTGCACATTCTTTCAGCGATAACCAAAAACAAAAACAACAACAACAACAACAAAAAAACAAACAAACGAACAAAAACCCACTAGATTTTCTTCGGCATGAAAGACACGGCGAGGGGTTTCTGGCTAGGGGTTTCTACCGTATTATTCCTACTAAGAAATTCAAAACCAGCTCCCTCGCTTTCTAATCAGGAACTTTACAGGCAACGCCTCTACTTTGGAGAAAGGAGAGAAAATATTTGACGAAATAAATTGGCCAAATTAGTTTGCTTGGTGAAACAGGCAGATGCTTAAAAATACAGTCGATAACGAATGCACTGAAGGCAGGCAACCTTTTTGAGGCAGATGAGAAATTCCATTGAGGAAAAACTGGGACTAGATGAGTCTGATTCTGAGGAGGGGTCCCTTTCCCAGAGGAACGAGTTTCAGATAACAAAGACACCTCCCACCCCCAACACACACACTTCAGTCACCTCCCGGGTAACTACGCCGAGCTGGGGGGCTGCCAGTCTTCATTGTCCGCTAAGTGTGCTTATGGATTTTTTTTTTTTACATCACCTTACTTTCTTTGTAAATCAAGCAAGAAAGAGAGTTCCAACAAAGCAAAACTTAGGCGGGAGTGGTTTCACTTCACATCCAAACCACCGGACCCTTTCTTTCTGAAGGTGGTCTTGCAAAAGAGGCCACACAATGACAACAAATGCAACGACAGAGACTGCTCCGGAGACTCGGGCCCCTCCTCCCGAGCCAAAACCGAGTGGGCTGCACCCCTCCCCCAGCCCCAAACCAGAGTCCAAAGGAGCATCGACCCTGCGGGGGCAGAAAGAGGATGATGGCAAACCCCACCTGGATGTGACTAGGGGAGGCTCTAGATTTCGGTTCAAACGCCTGTTTGGCTCCTGGGGGAAACTGAGGCAGGGTTGCAGCCAGGCAGACCCCCTCGCGGAGCAGTCGCAAACTATCTTCTGATAGCCCCTTGAGCGCACCGGGGGCAGCTCTTACCTGGCTGGCGCACGGGGACGCGGGAAGACAGCAAGGGACCGCACAGGCTGAGGCCAACCGCGACGAGCAGCAAGCGCCGCGGCCCCATTGTCCCGAGGCTGCCCGCGCGGCTGGGCGCCCGCGGTCGCCGGCTTTCTTCGGAGCAGAGCGTTGGGACCCTGCGGGAGACCGGAGGCGACTGCGAGGCCGCGCGGAGGAGTATTTGGAGGCGGTTCAGGGGCGTGGGCGGGGCCCCGAGGGCTGTGCGCGTGCTCGCGGCCTCCGCTCGCGCCCGCAGCCCCTCGCTCCGGGTCAGATGCTCACACCCTATATTCTCCCAGTGTGGCTTAGCTGTGAGCCCGGGAGTGACTCAGCCTCCAGGGTCATTGAAAACCGCCCGCCACCTCTTCAATGACCCTCCTGGGACGCGGAACCAGACCGGGGCCGCCCCGTCGTGGTGCGCCAAATCTCCCCCTTATTGGCGTCCGCGCGCGCTCGCCAAGTTTGGAGTTTAGCTAAAAGTTGGCGAAATGACTTCTGTTTTTGTAATTTAGGGGAGATGCATTTAAAGGTTGATGCTGCAGTGATAAGGGTGTCCCCAGATGTGTGGACAGTGTTATTTCTTTAATGTCTTTATTTTGCCAGTTTAGACGGGTCACGTCGAGCCTTTAATCTTCCACGCGAGTGGACCTGGCCACAGGTACCCACGCGCAGGTTCTCCAAGGTCTTACCGGCTGAACCCCAGCCGCATTCCCAAAGCCCAGGGCGGTGGGCGATGTTTGGGCACCTCCTGCCAGAAGGATGTGGAGGAGGAGGAGGGATGGCTTCCGGGAATTTTAAAGGGTCCTTCCCACGTTCTGGAACCTCTGGAACCTTAGGGTGTGTGCTTTGCTACCTTCCAGGGTCAGATCTCAAAAGGGGGTCGTGGTTGAGGCCTGACAAGGAGGAGCCCGCAGTTTATTTTGCTTAGGGAGTGACTAGTGGGGTTGACTTTCAGAACAAAACAGAAAATGGATCCTGGTTCTGTACCCAGCCACAAAGGTTTCTGAAAGAGCTCAAAGAACTGAGCCGTGGCCCCAGGCATCAAAGCTCAGGACTCTGAAGTGCGGTAGTTGTCTTAGTTAGGGTTTCAATTGCTTCGATGAAACACCATAACCAAAAGCAACTTAACTGTTCATCACTAAAGGACATCAGGACATGAAATCAAACTGGGCAGGAACCTGGAGGCAGGAGCTGATGCAGAGGCCATGGAGCAGTGTTGATTACTGGCTTGCTGAGCCTGCTTTCTCACAGAAACCAAGACCAGCAGCCTAGGGATAGCACCACTCACAATGAGCTGCCCCCCCCTCCACGCCCCCCCCCTCAGCTCAGTCACTAATTGAGAAAATGTCTTACAGGCTTCTGTATCTGAGGCAGTTTCTTAACTGAGGTCCCCTCTTAAATGACTTGAGCTTGTATGAAGGGGACATAAAACTAACCAGCACAGAGGTGTTCTGTACCCCCTGGCAAAGACTTTGAAAAGGACAATTTTGCCTGAAGACTACCTTGCCTCAAGTAGAATCTCAACATTTCAATCAATGGAGAAAACACAATCAGAGAGAGGCTCCTCCTCTTAGCCTAAGAGCTATTGCTCATTGTCTTCATAAATTGCTCACTAAGTTGAACAGTTAGCCAGCTAACCAACAGTTTTTAAAAAATCATTCCTACCCCGTCTCAAAAAAAAAAAATCATTCCCAGTGGAATCTCTTGAGATAACACATTTTAGGGTAGGTGGGAGCCATTAACATACTTCTGCACACATTAATAACATGGTATTGTTTCCTTACCTCTCTGAAATACCGTTGGGTTTTTAGGTTCATCACTTTTATGGACCACAGGCAAGAAAAAGTGAAATGCTGCAGTTAACCCAAGGAATAGCACTGATTTTTAGGGATGCTCCAATTGACTGTAAGACACCCAGAATTCAGAAAAGTAATAAAACAAGTGACAGGTTTTTTTTTGTTTGTGTTTTTTAACGGCCAAAGATATGGAGTAAAGTAGAAGTAGAGAGGTGCTTCTAAACCTCCTCGTGGATGCCTGAAGCCAGGAGAGCCAAACCCTGCATGCAGGATACTGGTTTTCCCTGTATCTTCTCCAGCATTGCCCTTTAGTATCAGTTAGTCTCTTCTTTGATGTCATGATACCCTCTGTGTATCACTCTCTTGTGCTTTGGGGTCATTGTTAAGTAAAAGGCTATTTAGTCATGCTGGGCGTTGGTGGCGCATGCCTTTAATCCCAGCACTCGGGAGGCAGAGGCAGGTGGATCTCTGAGTTCGAGGCCAGCCTGGTCTACAGAGCCGATTCCAGGACAGCCTCCAAAACAATACAGAGAAACCCTGTCTCGAAAAACAAAATAAATAAATAAATAAAAGGCTATTTAGTCACAAGTACTGGGACAGATAGCTGTCATACTGAGACGGTTATTAACAAGGGTATAGTGTATATACTGTGGATACACAGGATAAAACGATTCATTCATCAACCCTTGTGTAAGTCTGAAATTTCTTTGTTATTTTATGTGTCTGAGTGTTTTGCCTTGCGTGTGTGTGTGTGTGTGTGTGTGTGTGTGTGTGTGTGTGTACCACATACACACCTGGTGTTCACAGACTTCAGAAGAGGGCATTGGACTCTCTGGGACTGGATGGCTATGAGCCACTACGCGGGTGCTGGGAACCAAGCAAGGTCCTCTGCAAAAGCAACGCGTGCTCTTAAGCCCTGAGCTATCTATCCAGAGCCTGGACTAAGTTTTCAACATCCTTCCTTGAACGGCATCAAAACTTTCATTTCTGGAATTTTCCATTTAATATTTGGTTGTTGGTGAATGAAACCGTAGAAATCAAAACTTGAGAAAACAGGGCCTGCCTTCTGGCCTTTGCATCTTCACAATCAATATTGGGCTTCTGCACATTATTCAATAAAGTATACTCTCATACTAGTAGATATATGTAGGCCTGTATATTCTTTAAAAATGTTGGAGGAGCTGGAGAGATAGCTTGAAAACCCGAGTGCCATCCCCAGAATGAATGTATATGACTGCCAATTAGGGTGGTATGCCTTTGCAAATCCAGCTCTGTGGAGGCAAGCAGTGACAAGCACATCCCTGGGACTCCCTAGTCAGACAGCCTAGCCTACCTGGCAAGCTCCGGGCCAATAGAAGATCCTATCTCAAAAAAGGTGGGTGGAGCCTGAGGAATAACACGAGGTTATTTATTGACTTTCACTCTCACGTGTATATGAGCACATACACACCCTACAAGAATGGTAGAAATGTTGGGAGACGTTGAGAGTGTTTTCAGTTACATTACAACGTACCCTGAAGAAAGCGGGCTCTTGAAATAACTAAGTTCTTAAACTCTTTGCAAATTCAGTAAAGTAGTTTTCAGACTTCGGTTGCAGTACAGAGAACCAAGGGAGAGAAGACAGAATGAAGTATTTCTTCCTCTCCCTCGTATTCTCTAAGAAATGTGAATTTTCTAAAGAGATTTCTCTTTAAAATTTTCATGTATGGTCATTTTTCTTGTCCTTGCACTGTGTTCCCAGAGTGCCTGCAGAGGCCGGAAGAGGTCATCAGATCTCCAACTTTTGACCTCCTCGTTTAGTTTCTTAATATCAGCTCCTTCCCCTCAAGTAGCCATTTCAGCTACATGTAGCATGTCGACTTGTACACACATGTCATCCAGCTATGAGCCTGTCAGCCCCACCAGAACGCTGAAAGTTCTGACTGCCTCTTCAGATGGGTTTTGTATTACGGCTTATTGCTGACACGTCCTTGGTTTTGTTCTAAAGCTTGACAACGTTTTTGTCATGATTGTAAGCCCTTTAGAACTCTTGGAAAAAGACAGCAATCCCTCTATTTCTTTTGTTCCCTGCCACTCATGCCCAACCCCTCTGTCATGTTTATAGTAAATGTCCATTTCGTGGGGTTGGACAACCTGCCCATCAAAGCTAAGGAACATTCCCTGCAAAGGAGGCTCAGCATCCTTCCTGTTGGGATTACTTGTAGTACACTCGGGGCGTTCACAGTCCTGATTTCAACTTGCCTGGCACCAAATAGGGTGAGCCATCCCGCCGTGTGGATAGCGTATTCCAATCTTTAAAAATACACATGACATCATTGTTGTTATTTTGCTTAAGATTAGAAACTAGAAATTAGAAATTAAAAGGGGGCGAAAGGTGAAACACGAGCGTGAGCACGGAATGGGCCCTTGGAACCGGCTCGATGGAGCACAAGCCATGGAGTGTGTATTAATCACAGTTTATTATAGTGGGAGAGCGAGAGGGGGACAGAGACACACGAGACAGATGAAGGGGGGTAAGAGCAGAGCAGGAGGAGAGAGAGGAGAAGAGTGAGAGAGGTAAAAGCCTGTACAGTGAGGTAAGAAGAATGAGAGCAAGTGGGCGGGAGGGGGGGTCTGTCCTTTTTTTTTTTTTTGTGGTTTTTCGAGACAGGGTTTCTCTGTAGCTTTGGAGGCTGTCCTGGAACTCACTTTGTAGACCAGGCTGGCCTCGAACTCACAGAGATCTGCCTGCCTCTGCCTCCCGAGTGCTCGGATTAAAGGCGTGTGCCACCAACGCCCGGCTACGCCACCAACGCCCAGCAGGGTCTGTCCTTTTAAGGGGTCCTTTGCACCTGCATGCAGGTTGTACTCATGGAACCCTGGGCTGGCCAGAGAGCTGCCTGAGTGCATTCTGCCAGGTAACAGGGGTAGGCAAGTATGATGCCTGAACCTTTCAATCATCATGGTGTCAATTTTAATTCCAGAATGTTAGCATTGTTCTTTTTCAGGAACCCTTCTGCCTATTTTGGGTATTGTTTCCATGCCTCTACTCAAAGCTTTCCACAGACAATAGAATATTCTAGAAATTCACCTACTGATTTCCTTTTAGAAGCTAGTGGTGGTAATATGAGTACCTGTTGGAGTGACAGCTCGGGAAGTAAGAGAGTGAGGCACTTCCTGGTCCGGATAGACCTCCACAGTTGTTTTCCAAGCAAACAGTAGGTTAAGTAAGTTACAATCTAACCAGGAGGAGGCCTGTTTTTATCTCTTGTTACAAACCTGTATTGGTATTTTCGGTTTAGAAATATAATTTGTGTCTCATAATGGAGCAACAATATTTCCACTAATCAGCCCCCAGGAGAGTGGTGAACCGCGGTGGCTCAGGTTACTGAG